AAAAAGGAATCAGATCAGTTCAAATCTTGAGGAATGAATGGTTGAACTTCTTCTTGGCTGTTTGAACTGGAGCACAGAGAAACGTGTGATTCAGATGAGATGGTGATAAACAGCTGATGGTACACGCTCTCGTCCCATTTGGCTCCAGATCGAAGCGTTGGAGACTTTCTGTAGTTAAATCTGTCAGGAGGACCAGCWTTCCACAGCTCTCACAACTCAAATCTGATTAATTGTTGCACAGTCTCAGTCGTCACATCTGGATACAATCAGCCTTTAGCTTTTAATGTAAACAGGAAAAGAAAGTAGATTCTTACTGACGCAGGCAACATAGTACGACATTTGTGACAATTATATCAAATAAATCTAAAYTTGTTTAGTAAATGTTCTTATGCTGCACTTTTAAACTCCTTATATTTTAATTTAGGTGTGTTTATAATTGTGGAAATAAAACATTCAGAATATTAAAATCTTTTATTTGGCACTTGTCTTATTCAGCAAATATTGTGCTGTTTCAGCAGTTTATAAATGAAAACCTTCAGCTCATTCCTTCTATGACTTTTGGTGCTTTAACATGTGTTTATATAATATAATGTTTAAGATATTTAGCTTTTTCTGACATTTTCTCAATAAAAAATGGACAGAGTTGCCTTAAAACAATTAATTAAAATGTTTTAGCTTTTGTTTTGGTTCTGCTTTATTTTTCTTATGTTGCTAATTTCAGCTTCCTTCAGCTTCGATTTTGCTTGATTTAAGCATTTTTGTTTATTTGTAGCTATCTGTCTGACTAATGTTTCTATAGTTGTGCAGATTGAAGCTCATGCTTCTTTCTGCTAATTTAATATTTTCATGCTTTTTATGCTTTCCTGCTCCTTTCAGCTGATTTGTGTGATGATTTCAGCTTCTCACTGCTTAATTCAGCAACAAATGTCTTGTTATTAGTGGTGGAGCCGGACATTTTGCTCAGGGTTAGCCAGGAAAATTACATAAAATCTTATTTTAATTTTTCTACAGATCTTTGTGTTTTTGTCATTTTCCTCATGTCCTCATACAGACAGTGACCTTATAAACATGGTGTCAGGACCATTTTAAAAGTGGGGGGACACACTGTTGGGGGGTCTGGGGGTCCTCCCCCAGAAGATTTTGAAAAAAATAGATGCCATTTCCTGTGTTCTGGTGTATTTTAACAGGTTATTAAACATAATTTTCCCTACACAAATAAACACTTGATTTAATAATTATTTCAGAGACAGATTACTGATTAAACTGGTTCCATCATCCTGTTTTAATCTCACTGCTACAGCTGAGATAAGGTTAATTAATGTGACACAATTTATCATATCCAATGACTTTAGGGGTGATTTTTACTTTTATATTGTTTATTTATAATTTTTATTGTAACACAATGAAACAATGATGACCCTCAGCTGCATGTTTAAAACTAATATTAATAATTTTACCCAATGAACAGGTGTAATACTGATAACAGTGAATTTAGAGGAGTGTTTTTATGATTCAGTGATAGGTCTACTCAGAACCAAACAGAGAGCATCATGCAGCTTTCAGAACATAAAATGACTCTGTGTTATGGTGACAAAAAGTTGTCTCAATAAGTCCAAACGTTGACACCAGTCAGATCACAGTCATTGGTTCTGTAAATAAAGAAAACATCACTTCCTTGTCTTTACTCTTCTTCAGTCATAGAGCTTGGTGATGTTTAAACTGTTAAACACTGCCACCAACTGTTCAGGAGGATTATTACACCCTGAAGGTTGTTTCACTGTGTGAGGGCTGTGTACAGCAGGGTGGCCAAAGATTTGTCTGTGGTGCCCCTGGCCACCCCTGGCCCCGCCCTGGCTCCACCCCTGGCCACCCCTGGCCCCGCCCTGGCTCCGCCCCTGCTCGTTATCCAGTTAAATGTCAGCTTTATTGTGCTATTTTTGTCTGTTTTTGCTATTTTACAAGAAATRGCAACTTTTTTTGTACTCCTTTTTTACCCTGCTAATTTGAAATGTTTATACACTTTCACCATCTGTCTGCTAATTTCAACCTGTTTCTGGTACTTTTAGCTTCTTTTGGCTAATTTTAGCCTTGTTTAGGCACCTTTCCACTAATTTCATCTGATTTGTGCTGAGTTAAATTCTCTCGCCTTCAGCTGAAACAATCTTAAAGATAAACATAAGTTGCTTCTTCAGCAGCTTTCAGCAACAACATTGCAGCAATGTGTTCAAACTGTCCATTTTATCCTGGTTTTTGTGTTTTCYTTGTGTTTTCTCTGTAATCAGTGTGAGACGACAAACAAAGCCATGTATCTGAGCACACATGAAGAACGAGAGAACACGTCCATGTACGAGGACGCCTTCGAGGGACACAACCTTTCCAAACTGAACCTTTGTGATGAAGGTAAAACACACAAGTTTTTTTTATTTTCTACTGAAAACACAACATTTTAAGATAAGATAAACTATAGATGTACACTGCAAATAACTGCCCGTCCAACCAAGTCTTACAATCCTATATCAGCCAAAAATAATTTTTGATCTTGTTTTGAGACTGATATACTAAGTAAGAGCAGAAAATGTTAGATTATTAATCTTGTTAACCTCTTATTTCAAGTTTTACCATGTAAAATTGTCTTACACAGGCAGATTATTTTAACTTAAACAGAACATATCCTTCAAAATCTACATTTTGAGCCATTAAATAAATGTTGTTGTGTATTTAAAGTGTTTAGGAGTGTTTCTGTGGCTGTGTAGRTCTCTTTATAATCTGTTTGGGTCATATTTTTTGTTGGGATTTAAAGAGAAAGCCTCAAAATGAGATGATCTGAGACGCAGCTCTTTTCTATACAAACCAGATGTCCTCGTTTCTGGGACTGAAGMAGTCAGACCAAAGCATTTCAGTTCCACTTTATACTGACCCCAACTGAAGGGTTTACATGTGGAAAAGAGGGATTTAAAAGCATCAAATGAATCATTTAATTTGAGAAGATTCAGATTATAATCTAGTATTTTAACTTGTTTTTTGATGGCTAATTCTTGCAGCGACGAGGGGACTTTCCATCGTTTCTGTGCACACAAACACGACCTGCACAGAGTCAAACACACGAGAGGAAGAAGTTGTGTTTGGTGCTCGTTCCCTCTAATCGTCCTGCAGCAACATCTGGACGTGTGTGAGCTCAGACGCAGCTGAATAAACTCACAGATGATTCGTCTCAGACCTCGTTTGAAACTATTTGATGCTGAAGTCTTAAAARTATCTGGAGAATTTGTTGGCATTCGCTTCAGTTGATCCACCTGACAAAGTGTTTTGGTTTTTAAACGCTGCAGTTCTTTCAAATCATGGCCTGATTCAGAATCACTTGAAACAGAAAAGCTCAGTTTGATCAGTTAATTCTGCAGAACATGTGAAGGTTTAATCATTACAAMCGTTAAGAAACGACTCAGAGTCTCGTTTCTTCTCTTTAGAAAGTGAGGAGGCCGAACAGCGTGGTGTCCTTCTTGTTTTCAGACGTTCCATCTAAAAGAAAATGTTGTATAAAGTACCTCAAAGTGATACTTGAGTAAAAGTACAAGTATCTTATCATGAAATTACTTTGGTAAAAGTTAAAGTCTTCTCCAAGAATATTACTTCAGTAAAAGTCTTAAAGG